GGCGGGGCATGGCCCACATGCCCCCCAGGACTCTGCTTGTCCCACCACCCGGCCCAGTGGGGAGCCCTTTTCCCCCAGCCCCTGCTTCTGCTCCTGTCTGTGCTCTGCTCCCTCCCTCCCCATTGGGGCCTTGATCTGCCCAGCTCCCCCACCCCACCCCACCCCATCCCACAGTCCTTTCCCCTCTCCCTGCCTCTTCCCCCACAGACTTATGAGCTGGGGCGGCTTGCCCCCAATAATTTTTTCTCCCTCTGCCCCAACTGACTTGCTGGGCAGCGGTGGGAGGTGGAGGGTAGACTGCAGTAGATCTTGGGTTGCATATTAATTCAAAAAGTGATCTCCTACTTCAAAAGGTTGGAGACCACTGGCCTAGACAATACATCTTGTACCCTTGTTGTGTGTACCAGAAAGATGCATCCTTTTATAACTGATTAACAAGAACTTTTAAAAAATGCCTTCATGGTGCTGCTTTTGTGGTCAGTCCATTGTCAAGCTTTGTGTATTTCTAATAAAAATGAATTACATTTCCTTTGTTAGTCATTTTGGTTAATCTACAGTTTGGGTACCCATTAAATCTTGAATGATAAACAAAAGGAAATGTAGATCTGTATCATATTATCTCCAAAATTCATGGATCATTTAGTTCTGTGATTTTGCTTTGTCATAATCTCTAAATAACAGAAGCAAGTATGTATACAGGTACCATTACACAAGAAAAAATAAAATGATAAAATAACTTTATAATTTCAATCTCCCATCTCACATTCAGATCATAAAGCAGAGAAAGGCAGAGCATTCTATCTGGATATCTGTAAACCAGTATCTCAGGGCACCTTTCTTCAATCATCTTTGCAGTGGTGGTTGGCTACTAATATAGAATTTCAAAGAACAAATGTAGGAAATAAGACATAATTTGTCATAAAGGTGACCATGACAGATTGAACTCTTAGATTTGTGCAGTGAATTTCTTTGTATCTCAGGCATCTTGCCTTCTTTTCTTGCATATCATTCTCCCTATTCTACTTGAAATGAGCAAAGGAACAAATCCACATTTATTTGTATTGTAAGTGAAAATATCTATCAGTATAATTGCAAAAAAGGAGCGACAAGTTGTTTTTTTTAAAAGTACTTGTGTTTGAAAGTGCTATTTAAAATGTTTGAAAGTGCTACTTAAAACTAAATTTGGCTGTCAGGTTACAGACAAGTAAAAACTTTACTATTGTTACTTTTTTATTAGTAATTGGAGAATTGAATTTGCTGAATTCTTACATATACGTTTATTGCAGAGATACCAAGAGCCTGTATGACATAGAAAAGCAAAAAGATCTCTCTCTAATGCATAGCATATTAAAAGTTTGGAAACAAATAAAATCTATGCGTAGACACCAAGAATATACAAGTACATCTGTAAAGTTACAGTTTCAAAAGTAAGTGAATACATTTTTTCCAGAGCCTTTTTAAAGGTCTTGTAACACTTAGAATAATTTTATTGAAATATCAAATTAAAATTTACAGAAAGTAAAATAAGGATAATAGAATCATAGAAAATTAGGATTGGAAGGGACCTCAGGAGGTCATCTAGTCTAACCCCCTGCTCAAAGCAGGACCATCTCCAACTAGACCATCTCCAACTAGCAGGACCATTTCCAACCATTTCTAACTTTGTCTGTTGGAGACAAAGCCAGGGTTTTGTCTACTCAGATCGTAAAATCTTCCAAGGATGGAGATTTGACAACCTGTTCCAGTGCTTTACTACCCTCTTTATGAGAGAGCTTTTCCTAATATCTAACCTAAACTTTCCTTGTTGCAACTTGAAACCACAGCTCCTTGTTCTGTTATCTGCCACCACTGAGACCAGTCTAGCTCCATCCTCTTTGGAACTAGCCTTCAGGTAGTTGAAGGCTGTTATTAAATCTCTCAGTCTTCTCTTCACGCTAAATAATCCCAGTTCCCCCTGCCTCTCCTCATAAATCATGTTCCCCAACCCTCTAACCATTTTTGTTGCCCTCTGCTGGACTGTCTCCAGTTTGCCCACATCCTTTCTGTAGTGCGGGGGGCAGGGTGTCCAAACCTAGACACTCCAGATGTGGCCTCACCGGTGCCAAATAGAGGGAAATAATCACTTCCCTTGATCTACTGGCGATGCTCCTCCTCATCTTCCAGGTCAAGGGCACACTGTTGGCTCATATTCAACTTATTGTCCATTTTAACCCCCAGGTCATTTTCTGCAGTGCTGCTGCTGAGCCAGTCAGCCACCTGTCTGTATCAGTGTAGGACTTTGCACTTGTCTTTATTGAACTTATGCTATTTGTTTTGGTCCAATCCTCCAATTTGTCTAGGTTGCTCTCAGAGGAGGATTAAGATTTAACGAGGCCCTGGGCAAACACAAAATTGGAGGCCCCCTCCCCTCCATGCAGCTGGACTCCAGCAGGGGGAGAGGCCCCTTCCCCTCCTGGTGCTGTAGCTGTCAAGGGCAGGTCAGGTCTCTGTGCCCCATGGGTGAGGCTGGGTGGACCCAGCCAGGCTGGGGGTGCCTGGTTCTCCTCCCTGCTCCCCATCCTCTCTCCTCCTGCCATGTCTGGAGTAAAGCCCAGCAGAGCGAGGGCAGACATAGGCTGCCCACTATGGGCTCAGGGCTCTTCTTTCCCCCACATGCCTCCTGGATGAGCTGCCTGTATGTCCATCCCACTCCCTGCCCCAGCCTTGGGTCCCATGCACCACCCTGGCTAGGCAGTGCCCCCAGCCCCAGCCCCTGACCCTGCCCCACTCTCTCCCTCACCGTGGGGGCCCTCAATCTGCCTTCCCCATGTCCCTTCCCCTCCAGAGACTTAACTAAAGGGAGCTGCTTATCCAGCTTTGTTCCTGGCCATGTGTGGCCATGCACAGGGGTGGTGTGAGGGGGAGGGGAGACTATAGCCACTCCAAAATTTGCTGTAGCCACCCCTTCCAGTGCTGTCGCTGCCACCTGCCCACCCCACTCCCGCTCACAGAGGTGCGGCATTCCCAGCCCAGCCCAGCCCAGCCCAGCCTCCCCACTGGGAAGAGACTGGCTCCATCCCTGCATCTCCTGGAAGCCCCAAGCAGGACCCCTTGCGGGCTGCCCACCTGCAAGGGAAAACCTGCTGTTTCCAAAGGAAACCTAGGGATTCAGGGGCCCCTGAGCCTGGGCCCTGCTGGCCTGTGCATTAATTCATCTCTGCGTAATCTGAATCCTAGCCCTACTCTCCAGCATATCTACTACTCCCTCTCAGCTTGATGTCCTCCATAAACTTGCTGGCTCATCTTCCAAGTCATTGACAAAGATATTGAACAAAAACAGCCCCAGGATTGACCCTTGGGACACTCCATTTGATACTGGCTCACAACTAGACATTGAGTAATTGATTATTACCCTTTGAGCGTGATGATCCAGCGAGTTTTCCGTACACCTTACAGTCCAGTCCTCCAACCCATACTTCCTTAACTTGCTTGTGAGAATGTTGTGGAAGACCATATCAAAAGCCTTGCTAATGTTAAGGTATATCACATCCACTGCTCTTCCTGCATCCACAGACCAGTCATCTCATTATAGAAGGCAATTAGGTTGGTCAAGCATGACTTGCCCTTAGTTAATCCATGCTGACTGTTCCTAATCACCTTCTCCTCCAAGTGCTTAGAAATGGATTCCTTAAGGACCTGCTCCATGATTTTTCTAGGGACTGAGGTGAGGATGACTGGTCTGTAGTTTCTTGGATCTTTTTTCTTTGCTTTCTTAAAGATGGGCACTATATTTGCCCTTTTGCAATCATCTGGAACCTCTCCTGATTGCCATGAGTTTTCAAAGATATTGGCCAGGGGCTCTGTAGTCACATCAACCAATTCCCTCAGCACCTTTGGGTGCATTCATCTGGCCTTCAGACTTGTACACATCCAACTTTTCAAAATAGTCCCTGCCACTGGTAGGTGTTCTAGGGCTTTAGTCCCTTCTTGATTGATGCCTTGCTCCCCAGTAATGTCAGGGTGAGATCCGAATTTGGCACCACTCAGATGGTTTGGGTGCTGCTCCTGCTCGCCTGCCACGTTTTTGATATTTGGTATTCTTTTCTTGTGAGGCAGTTCCCTGTAGGTGGCCCTAGGAGATCTCAACCCTGGGTTTCTTCATGAGGCTCCAACCTCCCTTTTAACCCACCCTCACCACATCAATGGCCAGGGGCAGACTCTGCTCTCTGCAGGTCTTACACTGGGATGATCCTGTCTCATCCATGCTGCCTGCCTCCAAGGGTCAGGTTGTCTTGGCCATCACTCCTCCCAAGGCCATCCTTCATCTTTGGACTGAGGCCTAGGCAACTAAACACTCCCTGGTCCGGAGTTAACTGCAACTTAGAAGTAAAACTGAATGTAAGAGGTCAGTGTCCACTGACAGGCTCCTGGGATCTTGTCTCCCAGACACCGTCAGTCTTGCCAAGGACTCCGCTGTCCCTCTCTGCCTAGTAGGCATTTGGAAGGGTAGGCCGCCCTGTGCCAGGCCTCTGCTGGCCCTCTTGGGTCCATGTCCCTTCCCCCTTTCACCCCACTTGACCTGCAGCTAGGCTGCTTGGGTCCCACCAGCTGGTGTTGCCCGTCTCTCCCACGCAGGGCTCCATGGTCTCTCACGCTTCCCTCCATGTTGGATTGCCTAAGGTGTTGGTGGCCCCTTGTTGCCACGCCCTGTTGCAGTACCTGGGCTCCCTGTCAGGGCCTTGGCTCTCCTCCTGGGCATCCCGGGGGGCTGCTTCCTTCCGGCAGAGCTCCCCAGTGTCCCCCTGTTCCTAGGGCTTGGGCTCCTTGTCTCGCCTGCCGACGTCCTCCAGCAGACACTCAGCCTCCTTCCCCTGCACCTAGGGCTTGTGCTCCCTGGCGGCATTCCACCCCGCTCCTTCTGGTGCTGGGCCAGCTGTGTTTCCAGCTGCTTTTTGAGCAGCCCATGCCTCTCCGAGGCCATGCCCCTGATGCCTTCTGATTCGCAGGCTCAGGCAGCTCCAGAACTGCCAAGCCTGCCTTGGCGTCTCTCCTCAGCTGCTGCTCTTCTTCCCCCCTCAGGTGAGTATCGGGGTGCATCAGGAGGGGGTCTGGGGTGAGTTGGCGAGGCTTTTGCCTCTCCTTTCACAGTCCTTAACCTGTTCTTTTGCCCCTGTTGGCTGCTCACCTTCTCCCCAAACTGTGCTGCCAGGTGCAGTAGTCTGGGAGCTGACCTTGCCTGTGAAGATGGAGGTAAAAAAGGCATTGAATACTTCAACCTTTTCCATATCATCTTTCATTAGGTTGCCTCCCCCATTCAGCAAGGGACCCAGACTTTCCGTGTTCTTCTATTTGTTGCTGACATACTTGTAGAAACCCTTCATGTCCTTTGTGAACTACAACTCCAATTGCATTTGGCCTTCCTGATTCCATCCCTGGATGCTTGAACAACACATCTATGCTCCTCCCTAATTGTTTGTCCAAGTTTCCATTCTTCTAAGCTTCCTTTTTGTGTTTTATCTCATTGAAGAGTTCCCTATTAAGCCGAGCTGGTATTTTGCCATACTTGCTAGTTTTACTATGCATAGTGAAATGAAAACAAAACGAAGGGCTTCAAAACAGCCTCAAAATGTAATGAGGGCAGTCAAAATGTTTCAGAAGTTTTGAGTTTAGAAGCAGCAGCCAGGTGGTAGGAGGCAGGGGTGGAGCCAGGGCTGCGGTCCAAGCGGCTCCAGAGCCCCATGTGGCTCAGCCGAGTGGGGAGCACAGCCCTGGCTCTCCTCACCTCCTGCTACCAGGCTGCACTCTGTGGGGCTGGCAGAGCTGATGGGAATGCAGTGTCAGTTCTGCCCGCCTCCCAATGCTGGGCTGCACTCCAATCGGCTCCACCAGCCCCCTGGAGCCCAGCCCGGTGGCAGGAGGCGGGCAGTTCAACAGGGCTGAAGCCACTGGGAGCTGAGCCTGGTGGAGGGAGGCAGCGTGCACTGCCAGCACTGCGTGCCACCCCTCTTCACCAGGCTCAGCACCCAGTGGCATGCTGCCTGGTGGAGGGAGGGAGCTTGCAGCACTGGGGCTGCACTCCACCTCCCTTCATTGGGCTCAGGGCTGCACACCACCCCCCTCCATCGGGGTCAGCAACTAGCAGCTTGCCTGGTGGAGGGAGGCGGCATGCACTGCCAGCACTGACTGCATGCCACCCCTCTCCACCGGGCTCAGCGCCCAATGGCTTGCTGCGCAGTGGAGGGGGGCAGCGCGCACCACTGGCGCTGCACTCTGCCTCCCTCTACCAGGCTCAGCTCCCGGCGCTGGTCCCAGGTGGCAGCGACAGCCTCCCACCCGTGCCCCTGGGAGGGCTCTGCCAGACTTTTCTGGGGGTGTGGGTAAAACTTGAAACAGCGTTGAAACATCAAAACTGTTTCAACAAAATGAAATGGAACAGTGCTTTCAGAATGAAACTAAACTCAAAATGAAACACTGTTCCATTGAAACGTCAAAACAGAAATCGAAGTGAAATGGTGCTGTTTTGTACAGCCCTAGTGCTTATCTCCTCAAACCTCCCTTATCTAGGGTGGCCATTGGTCCTGTTTTATACTGGACCATCCTGTTTTTAAACTTTGTCCCCTATTCATTTCTCAATTAGGACCAGACAGCTAAACATCCTCTTTTTAGTTCATTTACTGGAAATGTGTGTCAATCACTTGTTCTCATAATTCTAATGGCTATGCTTAGAGCTAGAATGGCGGACAATGAGGAGAGGCAGGGTTCACAGCCAGGGAGGGAAGGAGGTGGCCTTCTTGTAGTGGCCCTCTCCCCTTCCCGCTGATTGGCCAAGGGGCCATGCCCCCCCCCCACTGATTGCCTGAGGAAGCAGTGACCCCACCCCTCACCACTGATTGGCTGAGAGGGGGCCCGCCTCTCACCAAAAGGATGTCCTGTATTCTGGGGATGAGTCAGTGACCACCCTACCCTTATCTCCTCATACCTCCAACTATACTTTAAAGGATCTGGCAACACCCCATGGTGCCCTGACACCCTGTCTGAATTGCAGAACTAACTCTTTTAAAAAAACGTACTTATTAGTATTTAAAATTACTGCAAATTAAAAGGAAACAAAAGTTTAAATTAGCAATTAAGACCCAGTTTGTAATTTTAGGAACATTTGGGTACAACGAGGTATACAAATAGGTGAGACTGCCTGTTTGTTTCTTGAGTGATGTCCTGTTAGCCAGCTTTGGATGCAAGAGAAGTACTTTCTTTCAGCCAAGAAGGAAAATTTGGGATTATAAATTTGCAATATAATTTTCTAAAACAGGAGTTTTGCTGATACTAGTATACTACAGATCCATTTTTTTCCAGCTCTCTCATCTTTTTTGTTTTGGGTTAGGACAGCTACCCCTGAGGTTTTGTGATTGATTTTTCTCTATCTGTTCTTATACATTCTTGCTAAGTGTCAAGTTCATTTTGTTATAATGAAAATTAATTTTAAGAAATTCAGTTTTTTTGAGCCTCCGTATCTTGGAGAGGTTCAGGATTTTTTAAAATTTGTTCTAATCCCCCTGCAATTAAATTAGTGGCCAAGCAGTTAACTCTAAAAAGTTTGATATTGTTGGTATCTGCCCATGAGCTTCAAATTCAGATTTATTGGGAGATTGCATTTTAAAATTCCTGTTTTACCTGGTAAAATTCTAGCATTTAATACATTTTTTCTGTTTGCAATGTTTAAATGGTTTTTTTTTAATTCATATTTCAGAGGGCTTATTAAGAAAAAGGAAGGTGATGACTATAAAGTAGAATTAGCACAAGATCTTAAAAGAGAGACAGTGCTAGTGAGAGAAGATAATGGTCACCAGGAGCATTTTTCAGAAATTTGGAGAAAACAGAAGGTAATAAAATATTAGTTATGGTATATGTCTGATCATTTTTTCATATTGGGTTTCTTAGAAATGTTGCCCCTGACTTTTATAAAAGTAGTATACTTCTCCTTGCTTTCATGTTACAACAGTTATTTTCATATTGTGGAAATTGAAGGAATGTTGTATAGTGCAAATTTAGGGCGGAATTTTCAAAAGGGCCTCAGGGAATAATTTAGTTTAGATACTTGTTGCTGCCGTGCACGGCAGCAAAGGGGTCGGGACCTTAGAAGGCCGTCAGGCGGGTACTTGTGAAATTGTGAGCTTGGAGTGGAATTAATTAGGCAGACGCTTATCGGGCAAGCTTATCGGGCAAGCTTATCGGGCTTATCGTTGTAAAGCAAGATTATTTACTCACGCCGTCAAGGTGGTGAAAGACGGAGGTCAGAGATACTTGTTTAGTTACAGCTTAGAGTTCATGAGGTCGGTCTGCAAAGTAGGTCAGTTCGCAAAAGTGGTTGGGCAGAAGGTCGGGCCGGCGGTCGTCGATTACGTCTGAGATTGGGTCGAGACAGGGGGCGAACTGGCAAGTGATCAAATTGCCAGTTTACTCTGACACGTATGTCAGAGGTCTCCAGGTGTATATGGAGTCGCTCTCTCTGACTTCACGGAAGTGAAAACGGGTTTTATTTGTGTAATAGCCAATTGCTTTTCGCCACGTCATAAATTTAATTAGAATCACCAATTATATAGCGGTTTCGCTAGGGTGTTATTTTAGGGCTACTCCCTGTATTACTCTGACCAGTTATAATGATTTATGTAAAGCAAAGAAGGCAGAAGTTTTATCTCTGTTAGTGGCGCAGCAATAAATTTCTTTTTGGCATACTCAACAAAGAAGGCTGTTATTATCATCTTGTTAACCCTTGGTTAACCTAGTGAAAAATAAAACTGCTTTGAATGGTTTCACTTGCTTGTGACATGGGCACTATTATAATTGGGTTGTGACAATACTGAATGCAGGAAATTAACATTTCAGCTGAACATACTCTTATTGACTTCTAGGGTCTTTTGGATTCAACTATTTCATTTGAAAGTTCAGCTGAACTTCAAGAGATAAAGGAATCTATTTTCATACCACATCTCACTCTGGCTGCAGAAGTAACACCAATGTTTAAGTGTCCCATGTAAGTTGTAAGAACTTTAAAATAATAAAGCATCAGTCTTTGCAAAAGATTTACTTCTCTACTTGTATAGAATAATGAGTGGGTAAGTATTATTTAAATTTAACATGTTAGTATTAGTACATCATTTGATAGTAAAAAGCTTCAAAAATAGTTCATTTATGTTAAAACTGTGAAAAAAGGGATTGGTTTAAAAATCAGAACCCTATAAATCTCTTATTAAATAAAGTTTAAGGCCACCATCCTGCAAAGAAGAATGCATATATTTTACTTTATGGACTATGAAGTCATTAGAACTACTCACTGTGTGTACAGTTTAGCAGATGTGGGAATGGGGCCTAAATAATCTCTTTATTATGTAGTGAAAATTAACCTTTGGCAAAAAATATATGATTTATATTCCCTCGGCAGTAACTGCTATAATCAATATTGTTACTGTGGTAACTATTAAAATTAGATTATGGTTTGGTTTGATTATTTAGAGTTAATTAAATCCATATTCATTAATTTTTAGGCATGAACAGAAGAGAAGAACAAAAGTACAGAAGAAACAATACTTTATTAAAATATTTTACAATGAAAAGCAAGTCTCTTGTACTTCCGTGGCTCACCTCCAGCTGGATTTTAAAGTGATTTTTCAGCAAACTTTTAATATTCAGTTATTAAATTGGCCTGAATCTCTTCGATTAGAGGTATAGTTATTTAATTTACTTGTGTGCTTTACTTCTATACCACACTTGAGGCTTTCTATAACTCCCTTTAAAGTCCATAAAAAGACTTGTGTTAGAGGGTAATTATAGGTCAGTTAACCTGCCATAAGTCCTGGGCAAAATAAATGAAAAACTGTTGTGGAATTCAATCATTACCAAGCTAGAAATATACTAGATACCAGTCAACATAAGCTTGTCAAAAATAGATTTAATTTATTGATGAGTTATTATGTCATACTTTAGACTCTGAGAGGCTTTAATGCTATGCAGCATTCAACTGTTGATGTTTTGTGTGGTCATGCATTAAGATTGAGACAGTGGTCTGCCTTGTCAGCCCGAAGTCAGGCAGAAGGTAGGGCAGGGTATCATGCACTAGCATAATTTGGGTGGAATAGGTAAGGAGATGGTGGGTTAGCGAAGTTGGAAAATAACTGTTGCTACTGCAGCCATGCACTTGTGCCACTGGCATGGTGGCAGCTGGAAGTCACCGGTGCCTCATGTACCGCAGGTGCCCTGGGTGCCTGGCTATATTATTAAACTTTTGGTGGTATTTTAGGCCTCCTCTACATGTGCAGGTAAAGGTGTGATGGGATCTAATGTATTAGTCACACAAGTCATGCCTCTTGCCAGGCTACATGTGCTTGGCAGGAGACACTATTGTATGGGATTACTCATTAGATCCCAGCCCGCCTTATTGCTGGGATCCTGGGCTCCCTCTGCACTGGCAAGAAACAAGTTCCCATGTGTAGGAGCCCAAGGCTCAGTGGTTTCACACTGGGCATGGTGCTACATGGAGGAGACCCTGCTACATGTGCGAATGAAAACTTGATGGCCACCAGCTTTAAGGTTAGTACACATTTTTTGGGGTCTAACTTTATAGCTGGTTGGTGCTTTTTATACCATGATGGGTACTTTGCACAAGTAGCTTGTCTTAAGGTAATTGCGCAAGTAACCAGGTAATTGCATGATACCTATAATGTATAGAGGAGGCCTAAGATACTCACTGGTTCATAAAAGTATCTCACCTGCTAGCATTTGACAAAGTAGGTTTTTGCTTATGATAGCTCATGCCTCTCTGAATCAGTTAGTTTAAGGGGCCATCTT